CAAATCTCCTTCCTCTATTGTTCTTGCTGTTCTTCTTGTTCTTCTTTCAATTCTTGGCTGTCCTTCATCCAAAGCCCATCTACTCAAAACTTGTATGTTCGACGCTATTTACCAACTCGGCGATTCAATTTCCGACACCGGAAATCTCATTCGTCAAAACCCCAACACCCCATTTTCTCATCTTCCTTACGGTGAAACGTTCTTCAACAAATCCACTGGCCGCTGCTCCAATGGTCTTCTCATGATTGATTACTTCGGTATCCCTTCCTTTTAACCTTATATTGTACTAATATTGTGAAGCCCCCCAAATTGGTGTCTAATGATATCTCAAATTGCAGCTTTGGACGCTGGACTTCCCTTGGTGAACCCTTATTTGAACAAAGATGCATTGACAAGGCATGGAGTGAATTTCGCAGTGGCTGGTTCTACGGCTTTGTCTTCTCAACTTCTTTCTCAAAACCAAATCTTGTCTCCGGTCACCAACTCTTCTCTCAACCAACAACTTTATTGGACGTTCTCTCATTTCAACTCCATTTGCTACGATCAAAGAGGTTTCTAATTTCTTTCCAATTAATTATATTTTCTTTTATATATCTTCATTTTAATTTGTATTATGCTCCTATCTTATAGATTGCAATGAGAAATTAAGGAATGCTTTGTTCTTGGTGGGCGAGATCGGTGGAAACGATTATAACTATGCGTTGTTCCAAGGCAAAACTATTCCAGAGGTCAAAGATATGGTGCCCCAAGTTGTTCAAACCATAAAAAGCGCCGTTGAGGTAATTTTGGGTATATATTTAACTTCTTCAATTAGGGTTTTTTTTTTTTTTTACTTATCTCTGACGTTTTTTGTGTGCAGAAAGTGATAAGCTACGGAGCTACTTGAGTTGTTGTTCCTGGAAACTTTCCAATCGGATGTTTACCCATCTACCTAACTGGATTCCAAACTAATGATACAACCGCTTACGATGAACTTCATTGTTTGAAAGATTTGAATGGTCTGGCTACTTATCACAATGATCAAATCAAGCAAGCTATTGAAGTGCTCAAGAGAGAGAATCCACACACCATAATCGTATATGGTGACTACTATAATGCATTGTTGTGGATCCTTCGTCGTGCTTTTACACTCGGTATGGTTTTCTTAATTATTATTAGCTTAATACAAAGGAATTGATATCTTAATCATTGACGTTTGTTGTATTTAGGGTTTGATGAAACTTCTTTGCAAAAATCATGTTGCGGGATTGGAGGAGACTACAACTTCAGCCTCATGAAGATGTGCGGAGTTGGAGTATCAGTTTGTTCAAATCCAGATGAACGCGTTAGTTGGGATGGAATCCATTTAACTCAAAAGGCTTACAAATTCATGGCATATTGGCTCATTCACGACATCTTTCCACAACTTCATTGCATTGTTTGAATTTTGTTTTAGTCGTTTCTTTTTAGTTTTTAGCTTTTCTATTTTTTTTTTTTTTGGGTGTAATATTTTATAAAGTTCATTAATAAAATATTAGTATTAATGAAAATATAGTTTCAATTCAATTTCAAATGTAAAATCAAATTATTATTATTATTATAAAAAAAATTATTATTATTATTATTATTTGTAAATCATCCTCATAATCAAGAGAATAAAATTATATAATTCCAATTTAATTTTAAAATCTATTATTTGATTTGTAAACCAAAATATCTTTTTTAGTTTCAAATGAAAGTATGTTATAAACTAATGTTTTTTTCTATAAATAAAGTGCGTGAAAAAAGTCAAAATAATAAATTTGTGAGATTAAAAAGTTAACAATGAAAAGTGTTTTAGACAAGGAGCCCTAATATTTATTATTTTTTATTTTTTTTATTTTTTTTATGAATCGAAAAATTCGATCAATCCAATCTAATACATACATTCAGTTTGGTTGGATTATGAACTTATTTGTGTTCGATTAAGTTCAAATAAATGAAAATTTTATAAATTGAATTGATTTATAGGTTCTCCTAAAATTAAATAGGGTTGAACCAAATCTGTTAACTTTAAAATATATATCAAATCACCCGATATTTATTTTATTTTTATACTATTTGAGAAGTATTTTTAAAATATATTTTGAAATTTTTGATTTGATTCGTTATTCAAAGATGGGTTAGGTTGAAAATTTTACCATGCAAATAATTGGAGTCTAAACAAACGTCTCAACTCGAGCCAACTCAATCCATAAGAATCTAACTTTCTTTTAACATATGTGAAAACCATAATAGAAAAATAGTAGGAAGTGTTGGATGATGAAAGTCCCACATCAGCTAATTTAGGAAATGATTATGAGTTTATGATTAAGGAATACTCTCTCTGTTGGTACGAGACATTTTGGGGAAGCACAAAACAAAGTCATGTGAGCTTATACTCAAAGTAGACAATATCATACCATTGTGAAGAGTCGTGTTCGTCTAACAAAAAGGAAATCATCGTTAAATGAAACCTAAGATGTTTGGTTTGTATTTAAACATAGGTATGTTTTTACATTTAAAATCATCTAATTTCTTTTGTTCTAATTACTTTTAGAATACAAAAATATAAAAATAATTTCGGTATGTTTTTATATTCAAAACCATTTAATTTTTTTTTTGTTCTTATTACTTTTAGAATAAAAAGATATAAAAATAATTTAGGCAAGTTTTTATATTCAAAATCATTTATTTATTTATTTTTGTTCTTATTACTTTTAGAATATAAAGATATAAAAATAATTTAGGTATGTTTTTATATTCAAAATCATTTAATTTTTTTTTTGTTCTTTTGCTTTTAAAATAAAAAATATAAAAATAATTTGGGAGGATATGAAATAATTGAGTTTTTAAAATTGTTGAGAGAGTTCTGCGATTTGATATCTTTTTTGGAGCGTTGATGACAAGTTCTTTTTATAATTACTCGGTTACAAGTCACTTTACGTTACTCACCGTCCAGGAAATCTAACCATGATTAAATTCACCGTCCAGGACTTGGCACCTGATGGTCCCGACACCTTCAAAGAGTAAACCCCACAAGTCGTGTACAATAAAATTAACAATGTGTATTTGTATCTTATTAAAAGTAACTACAAATATATTTTATGTTTTACAAATAACTTTTAAAAAAATATTATTAGCCACGTGTTAATTATTTGTAATTATTTTTCTATCTTCATAAAAAAATAAGAAATTTATTTAGATTCTTTTTTATTATTATTTTTTTTTATCATTATCTTTGAATAATAAATATTTGTCCCTCTCAAGATAGAGCTCCCTGCCCCAAAATTCATATGATTCACATTTGAATTATTTCCTTATATTTATTTTTTAATAAATACATTTTCGTTGCACCCTCATTGAAATGCTAAAAAGGATAATATTATTTGTTATATATATATATATATATATATATATATTTTGTAATAAAGCTGAAATCAATAATATTAACAAAGACAAAAAGAACGTGAATAGTAGATAATCTATGAGGCGTTGATCGAACGATTTTTATCCATATATTGACAGTAAATTTTTTTTTTAAACTTGGGAGGTAATTATATTTTTAATTTTTTTAAAAGAAAGTATTAATAGAACTTTTAAAATTTAAATAAATTTGAAGGTATTTTTTAAATACTATTAAAAATTAAAATTAAAGTTTGATTTATAATTAAAATTATTTTTATTTTTTAATTTTTAATTTATGGATATTATTCAAACTTCTTTTATTATTAGAAATGGAAAATGATGGAAATTATTATTATATAATATATAATTAAATAATATAATAATGATTGGAGGGGGATTTGGGGATCTGTTCATTAATTGAATTGGCACAAAAAGACGAAGGAATTCCTTACTTCTTTGCGGATAAGATATGGGAAAAGAAAGTTTGCAACTTTCAATGCCCAAATTTAAATTTTTATATAACTATTTTATTATATTTATTTACTTACGTTTAAAAAAAAAAAAAAAAATACTCTCAGTTGAAAAAATTACCTTCTATAATAGTTAAAATAAATAGATTATATATATATAATTCAATTCTAAAATTAATAATAAATTTGAGCCGGTTCGATTCAACTCAATTTATAAAGTTTTCATTTATTTTAACCAAATTTAACTAAAATAAGTTCATAATTCAACTTAAATTTTTTTGAACACGGGAAGCCAAAACTTTATTAATCTATTTTGTAGTTAAATTAGTCTATTTGTTATCATTTTAGTTTAATACACAAAAGAGAAACACGGGAATAATTTGAGTTATAGTTTTGAGTGTTTGATGAAAGTGTCCCACATTGGTTAATTTAGGGAACGGTCATAGGTTTATAATCTAAAAATACACTCTTCATTGGTATGAGGTTTGTTGGGGAAGCCCAAAGCAAAGCCATGAGAGCTTATGCTCAAAGTGGACAATATCATACCCCCCTCTAACATTGAGGACAACATTTATGAGAGAAAACAGAAAGAAAACAAACAAAATTTTTAAAATGCGCCATGCGCCACTAAGATACCTACCGCCCCGTGTCTGACTCTATTATCATTTATTACAGTCCAAGCCCACCGCTAGCATGTCCTCTATTATGAAAAGCTATTCATGCCATTTTAAAAAATGCTTTGTTTCCCTCTTCAATGGACGTGGGATCTCACATAAAAATACTGTTGTCTTTATAAGGTAGTGATACATTGAGTAGGCAATATCAATTATCAACATATATGGTTCGTATATCAATGTAAATGTGGTATAATTTCTATCAACACGTTGGCATTTTTATCGACATTTCTTCATGTGACGAGATTAATATTGATGTAAATGATGAATCGACATTTTTACTATATGGACGGTCAAAAACTAATTAAATGAATATATCTTTGGGAGTCAGATCTATTATTGAGGGATTTGAAAATGTGAATCATGTGAGGTGTCTATGGCTATGAACATGTGTTCATATTGAAGAAATGACAAACTTTTTAGTGCTATAAATAGCATTCCCCAAAACCCTCTTCTCCAAGCCATCTTCTCTAGCTATTCCAAATTAGAGACATACAAAATGTTTGGAATTGGGAAGAACATCGTAGAGGGAGCGTTGAATACCACCGGAGAACTTGCGGGCTCCGTCATCAATGCCGGCGGTAACATCATAGACAGAGTCACCCATCTCCGGGGAAAGAAGATCAAAGGGAAACTGATTCTTATGAGAAGCAATGTGTTGGATTTCACTGAGTTCCATTCCTCTCTTCTCGATAACTTCACGGAGCTGTTGGGCGGCGGCGTTTCTCTTCAGCTCATCAGCGCCACTCACACTTGTACTAACCTTCCCTTCCTCCATTCTCTCTCTTTTGTTATCTCTATTTGGTGTCCAATTTGTAATGAATGATATCCACAGCAAATGACTCACGAGGGAAGGTCGGGAGCAAGGCATTTTTGGAGAGGTGGCTCACTTCACTCCCGCCGCTATTCACCGGAGAATCTGTGTTTCAAATCAACTTCAATTGGGAAGATGACTTTGGATTTCCAGGAGCTTTCTACATAAGAAATGGGCATACAAGTGAGTTCTTCCTCAAGTCACTCACTCTTCAGGATGTTCCTGGCTATGGAAAGGTCCATTTCGATTGCAACTCATGGGTTTACCCTTCTGGGCGATACAAGAAAGATCGTATTTTCTTCGCTAATCATGTAATTATTTGTTTTTCGTCTTTCTCTCTCTCTCTCTCTCGTCTTACTTTCGTCGAGATTTTATGTTTTTAATGGAATTATTCGTATGTAGACATGTCTTCCAAACGACACACCAGCTCCTCTTCGTAAGTATAGAGAGGAAGAGCTGTGGAATTTGAGAGGAGATGGAACGGGAGAGCGGAAGGAATGGGATAGAATCTATGACTATGATGTCTATAACGACCTTGCTGATCCTGACGATGGTGACCATCGTCCTATTCTTGGTGGTAGCCAAGAGTATCCTTACCCTCGTAGAGGAAGAACTGGAAGACCACGAGCAAGAAAAGGTAAGACTTACTGGTTTCTAAAGTTAAATTATACTTTCACGTTTGTATTTAACTAACGTCATGTTAAAGTAATAAATAAGTTAACGACCTATCCGTAAAAAGTTCAAAGACTTATTAGACATTTTTAAAATCAAGGAACTTATAATTTGAATCATGAAATCATATTTGTTTATTTGCAGACCATAACTATGAGAGTCGATTGTCGCAAGTGATGAGCTTAGACATCTACGTACCAAAAGACGAGAATTTCGGGCACTTGAAGATGTCAGATTTCCTTGGGCATACCTTGAAAGCAGTTTCGATATCTATCAAACCAGGGCTTCAATCCATATTTGATGTAACTCCGACCGAGTTTGACAATTTTAAGGAAGTTGATGATCTCTTTCAAGGAGGCTTTCCCGTTCCATTTAATGCGTTTAAGACTCTCACTGAGGACCTCACACCACCTTTGTTCAAAGCTCTTCTCAGGAATGATGGTGAAAAATTCCTCAAATTTCCCACTCCCCAAGTTGTCAAAGGTAACAACATGGATATCTTTTTCATACAACATGTTTTTAGACCAAATTGTCCTGGTTTTTAGTTTAACGATGACTAATACAATTTTGTTGATCGTGTAATGATATGCAACAGATAACAAATCTGCATGGAGCACTGATGAAGAATTTGCAAGAGAAATGCTAGCGGGAGTCAATCCTCTAGTGATTCGTCGTCTTGAAGTAATCTTAATGCAGACTCAATATCAATTTTTTCAAATCTTATTCTTTTCTTCCCCTTCGTTAATTCAATTTATTTTTATATTCACAGGTTTTTCCACCGATAAGTAAGCTTGACCCAAAAGTTTACGGGAATCAAAGAAGTACAATCACTGAAGAACACATAAAGAATGATTTGAACGGACTCACAGTCGATGAGGTGATTTAAATGACTTCGAAAACAAATTTGATTTTTTTCTTCTCATAGTTTAGATGAAAATAACCAAAAATGATTTGTTGTTATGTTGGATAGGCAATCAAACAAAACAAACTCTACATACTAGACCACCATGATGCGTTGATGCCATATCTTAGAAGAATAAATGCAACATCCACAAAAACATATGCCACAAGAACATTGCTCTTTTTGAAAGATGATGGGACTTTGAAGCCTTTGGTTATCGAGTTGAGCTTGCCACACCCTCAAGGAGATGAACTTGGTGCCATTAGTAAACTATACTTCCCAGCTGAAAAGGGCGTCGAAGGCTCAATTTGGCTATTGGCTAAAGCTTATGTAGGTGTAAATGATGTTGGGTATCATCAACTCATCAGCCATTGGTATGAATCTTTCTAAATAATTCTTCAATGCCAATGTATCAATTACGAGCTTACGATACCAACTCTTCTGAAATTACAGGTTGCATACTCATGCAGTACTCGAACCTTTTATTATTGCAACACATCGACAATTGAGTGTGATTCATCCAATTCATAAGCTACTCGTTCCTCATTACAAAGACACCATGTTTATTAACGCATCGGCGAGACAAGTTTTGATTAATGCGAATGGTCTGATTGAATCGACTCATTTTCCATCCAAATATGCTATGGAATTGTCATCTTACATTTACAAGGAGTGGACCTTCCCTGACCAAGCACTACCTAATAATCTCATCAAGAGGTAAATCGGTTGAACACAACTCGCTAGGAGAAATACTCGCACTCTTTATTAACACAAATCAAGAAGAGATTACAAAACTCTCTCTCTCTAAGCTTTGTATTTCATGGGATGAAAAACATTGATAGGGTGGAAGAGTATTTATAGCAGACACTAACAATTTATTCCTAAAATACCTAAATCAATTTTCTAAAATGCACCGACAATTGACTCATACGATAATTTGGTTTGACTTTATTGGACTAGTGATGATATATTAACAAAATCATCTCGACATGAATTTCGTATTGACTTCCTTTGAGTTTGATTTGTGCAGAGGAATAGCCGTTGAGGACTCAAATTCTCCGCATGGACTTCGACTACTAATAAATGATTATCCATTTGCTGTCGATGGGCTTGAGATTTGGTCGGCCATCAAATCATGGGTTACAGATTATTGTTCTCTTTACTACAAAGACGACAAGGCAATCCAAAACGACTTCGAACTCCAATCTTGGTGGACTGAGCTGCGGGAGAAAGGCCACGCTGACAAGAAACACGAACCATGGTGGCCAAAAATGCAAACTTTATCCGAGCTGATCGAGTCATGCACGACCATCATATGGATCGCTTCAGCTCTCCATGCAGCGGTGAACTTCGGACAATACCCATATGGAGGCTATGTTCTCAATAGGCCAACTACAAGCCGCAGGTTCATGCCTGAAGTTGGGACCGCTGAGTATAAGGAGCTTGAGTCCAATCCTGAGAAGGCCTTCCTAAGAACAATCACCTCAGAACTACAAGCACTTATTGGTATCTCAGTCATTGAAATCTTGTCAAAGCATGCCTCTGATGAGGTGTATCTTGGGCAAAGAGCTTCCATCGAGTGGACTTCGGATAAATTTGCATTGGAAGCGTTTGAGAAATTTGGGAAAGAGCTGTTTGAAGTTGAGAATAGAATTATGCAAAGGAACCAAGATGGGAAGTTGAAGAATCGATCTGGACCTGTTAACATGCCCTACACCCTACTTGTTCCATCAAGTACGGAAGGACTCACTGCCAAAGGAATTCCGAATAGCATCTCTATCTAAGTCGTCTAATTAGTATTTCAAGGGAGTTGTGTAATTTGAAGGTCGCAAATTGCACTTTAAGCTACCCATTTATGAGGAAATAAAGACCATATTGTTAGTTTAATGCAGCCTTTTAGGGTTGGATTTCAAACTCAAAGTTCATGTACTTCGCATTACTATTTAATGAATAAAAGTTGGGTTTAGAATTAATTTCAAATTTCATTCCAATGAAAATTTAGGGTTTGAAATTATACGCTAATGATAACATCCCCAACAAAATTACACTTGCAAAATCTACGTATCAAATGTGGTTGCCCAACTACTTGAAAACCAACTGGTCTTGTCATATATATTTCTTATTGCAAATCTCCCTAGGAGAGAACTGATTTTTATACCAAGTTGTGCCAGCTCAAGATTAAATTGAGCCAACAAAATCAAATGGATTGAGATAATTATAATTCTTGAAAATATGTTTTTCAAGAACATATGAGCAAACTTGCAATGAGAGACTTATTTTCAATAATTGATGATGAATGTGAGCACGTCTAGTGGTCGATGAGGTTAAGTCTTTCACAATACCCCAAATGTCACAACCTGGCGCTCTGATACCACTTGTTGTGTCGTAATGCCACAATATTCAATATTTTGATACCACTTGTGTTGTAACGCCACAACCTTCAATGGTTTGATACCACTTGTTGTGTTGTAATGCCACAATCTTCAATGCTCTGATACCACTTGTTGAATCTGGCTACCAAAGGTTGTACCCTAATGCCACAACTAAAATGTTATGATACCCAATTGTTATTTGGAAGCAGAAGCAAGATGGATCGCACTCACGTACCAACAAACAAAAATTAAACAAAGGCCACAAAGATTTAGGTGGTTCAGAGAGAAGAAATCCCCCTACATCTATGGGTGATAGCCAATCACTATAACCAAAGTGTTTACGAGTGTATCTCTCACACTTTCACACTCAAAATCTCTCAACAAAGTTCCTCCCAATTGTCTCTAGACAAATACAAAATGACTATGACTTCGCATCTAACCCAAATGCCACTAGACAAATACAACTTGGACAAGCATTTCTATAGGCATAGCAATATTAATTCTCATATATCAACCAAATATATGAGAATATAAACAAAAAAAAGGTTATGAATTTCATGACTTATGAACCAAAATGAATGAGAGTTAAGACAATACATCTTCATAAAAACTTACAACACTATAAATGAGTTGGGTCAATGCTCATAAGCTTTGCAGGTGAGCGAGGTTGACTGCTAGGGTTGGTCAAATGTTCGATGCCAAATTTGAGGCTCGATTTTCAATTTGGTTTCAAAGCTAATTGTGATGCTACTTCAATCACATTTTTATGGTGTTTTGGGTGGTGGATTCGTGATGATTTTTTTTTTCTAAAAATGTAGGGAAACAAAAGGGCATTGGATTGTTATGAAAATTTACGTAAACTATGAGCCTGAATAATTTGAGAAGAGAAAATATTGGAATCCCTTACAAATTTAAATACAAACCTTATGCAATTTATTAATAAAATATTTTCTATTTTGATGTGTCTATAATTTAGTGCAACTTATTATTGGTTTGAATTAGTCAACATATTAGTAATCGATTAATATTTGGATAATATATTAGTTATGAAATATATCTTCTTAATCAGTTAATATTTTCCTTTGTGATTTGATGAGTAGTATATTTTATTTTATTATAAGATTTAGTTAGTTTATATTTTCATTAGTGATAGTATTAGTTCTTAGCTTAAATCCTATTTAAACGTTGTGAATATAAATGAAGATTGAACCTTCGATCATAATTCTATTTTCATTTTTAACTCTGTTTTGTTTTCTTGAGTTCCCAATTCTATTTCTCATTCTTACCTCTGATGAGTAATAATATTTTCAGATCTATTTACACCTTTTGAGTGGTAGATATTGTGTCAGTTGGTATTAGACATAAGGTGGATCAAGGGTTTGATATTATTACTCAACTAGATAATAGTGGAAGTGCTTCTATGGGTATAGCTATGGAAAAGTTTGTTGGCAATAATTATAATGATTGGAAATTATGTATGGAAGCTTATCTACAGCCAGATTGGTGGGATTTAATTGAAGGTGATGACACATAAATTCTACAGAATGCTGAATTACGCCGAAAATGGAAGATCAAATGTGAAAAAGCTTTATTTACCTTGCGAACTTTGATTAGCAAGGAATATATTGATCATGTTCGTGATTTAAAGTCACCAAAGCAAGTTTGGGAAACACTTAAAAAGCTGTTTACTTAGAAAAATAGAGCTCGATTGCAATTTCTAGAGAATGAACTAGATGTGTAACTCAAGGTAATTTTTCTGTTGAAGAATATTTCCTGAAAGTGAAAAATTTGTGTTCTTAAATTTCAAAATTAGATGCTGAGGAGACAGTGAGTGATGCTCGATTACGGCGTTATCTTATTCGTGGATTACGAAAAGACTTTATGCCTTTTGTTTCCTCAATACAAGGGTGGGCAAATCAGCCTACAGTTATTGAATTGGAGAATTTGCTTTCTAATCCAGAAGTTTTGATTAAGCAAATGACTAGCGAGCTTTTCCCAACGTTAGAAGATGTGTTATATGTCAAAGATCAAAGAAACAGAATTTTCATTCATAGCCTTCATCAAGCAATGAGAATCAATTCAGAAGTGAGGAGTCGTCAAAGAAGCCATTTAAAGTTCATTACAAGTGTGAAAAACTTGGTCATTTCAGAATTAGTTTGTACTTTGTATTATATTTAAATACTGTGAACATTAATGAAAATCGGACTTTAGATCCCACCTATGTTTTCCAGATTTTCAATCTCTTGTACTTTCAATTCCACTTTTGTTTTTCATTCTTAACATGACATGGGAGCTTCTGAAAAAAATATCAACCAAATATATTCATATGTTTCAAAAAATAATAATAATAATAATAATACCAATATTCTATTAATGAACTTTATAAAATATCACACCCGCAAATAATAATAATAATAATTAAAAAAAAAAAAAAAAAAACTAAAGCAAAAAACTAAAAATAAACAACTAGAACAAAATTCAAACAATGCAATGAAGTTGTGGAAAGATGTCGTGAATGAGCCAATATGCCATGAATTTGTAAGCCTTTTGAGTTAAATGGATTCCATCCCAACTAACGCGTTCATCTGGATTTGAACAAACTGATACTCCAACTCCGCACATCTTCATGAGGCTGAAGTTGTAGTCTCCTCCAATCCCGCAACATGATTTTTGCAAAGAAGTTTCATCAAACCCTAAATACAACAAACGTCAATGATTAAGATATCAATTCCTTTGTATTAAGCTAATAATAATTAAGAAAACCATACCGAGTGTAAAAGCACGACGAAGGATCCACAACAATGCATTATAGTAGTCACCATATACGATTATGGTGTGTGGATTCTCTCTCTTGAGCACTTCAATAGCTTGCTTGATTTGATCATTGTGATAAGTAGCCAGACCATTCAAATCTTTCAAACAATGAAGTTCATCGTAAGCAGTTGTATCATTAGTTTGGAATCCAGTTAGGTAGATGGGTAAACATCCGATTGGAAAGTTTCCAGGAACAACAACTCGAGTAGCTCCGTAGCTTATCACTTTCTGCACACAAAAAACGTCAGAGATAAGTAAAAAAAAAACCCTAATTGAAGAAGTTAAATATATACCAAAAATTACCTCAACGGCGCTTTTTATGGTTTGAACAACTTGGGGCACCATATCTTTCACCTCTGGAATAGTTTTTCCTTGGAACAACGCATAGTTATAATCGTTCCCACCGATCTCGCCCACGAAGAACAAAGCATTCCTTAATTTCTCATTGCAATCTATAAGATAGGAGCATAATACAAATTAAAATGAAGATATATAAAAGAAAATATAATTAATTGGAAAGAAATTAGAAACCTCTTTGATCGTAGCAAATGGAGTTGAAATGAGAGAACATCCAATAAAGTTGTTGGTTGAGAGAAGAGTTGGTGACCGGAGACAAGATTTGGTTTTGAGAAAGAAGTTGAGAAGACAAAGCCGTAGAACCAGCCACTGCGAAATTCACACCATGCCTTGTCAATGCATCTTTGTTCAAATAAGGGTTCACCAAGGGAAGTCCAGCATCCAAAGCTGCAAATTGAAAGGGGAATATGGCATAACATTAGACACCAATTTGGGGGGTTTGGGAATATTAGTAAAATAAAAGGTTAAAAGGAAGGGATACCAAAGTAATCGATCATAAGAAGACCATTGGAGCAGCGACCAGTGGATTTGTTGAAGAACGTTTCACCGTAAGGAAGATGAGAAAATGGGGTGTTGGGGTTTTGACGAATGAGATTTCCGGTGTCGGAAATTGAATCGCCGAGTTGGTAAATAGCGTCGAACATACAAGTTTTGAGTAGATGGGCTTTGGATGAAGGACAGCCAAGAACTGAAAGAAGAAGAAGAAGAACAAGAAGAACAATAGAGGAAGGAGATTTGGTGGAAGCCGCCATTGTTGAACAACTTCTGAATTGGAATTGGAATTGTTGAATGGTGGAAGGGTGAGAGGTTTGGTTTTATAGGTGACTATCTTTTTCCCAATCCTCTTGGGAAGATAAAAGGGTTTTGATTTGTTTTTGAATTTCCTAATCCTTTAAGGATAGGATTCCAACTTCGCTAAATCTTCGGAAATTTCAAATTGGTTTCCTTTTTAGATTTTAGTTTTTATTAGTTTTGTTTTAGGAAATATAAATTCAAATATTATTTCAAAAGAAAAAAGCTATTGAATTTATAAATTTAAAATAAATGAATCTTCTCAGTTTAGGATAGGATAGATCAAATCAAATTTAAATTCTAGAAATCTATCATATATAAGATTAGAAGGTTGACAATCAATTAGACTTTTCAAAACAAAAAAAAACATGTAGGTATTTATTTGACCTAAAGTTAAAAGTTAAAGAAACTTGAAAAGTTTGAAACTAAATAGATGTAAACGTGCATGTATGTAAACACTCAAAGATTCAAACTTGATCTGTTTGATTTTAAAAATCTAAGTTACAAACTTTGCACGTATATTATTGAGATTTTTTTTTTTTTATTGGAATGAGAGGTCTATCACAGTTGATAATACAAGTTTTAATGATACAGCTATCTCGTATCTTATGAGAAAGCTTAAAAGTTTGAATTCACTTGTCTTATCTTAGATAGAGAAATATTAGTGTTGTTCCAAATAATTAACTTGAATGTGAATGCAAGGTTTATTCACAAGGTTTAAAAAAAAGCATGACTCCATTTCCAGTGTTAGTGAGGTAGGTTGGATCATCCCTTGAGATTGACAAAAATTAAGATTGTGTTTAACCCGAAAAAATTGAAGGTAAGGTACTTGTTTATTTGGATGTGGCAACTAAATGAAATTCCATCTATTTAATGTTTGATCATGCCTTAAAAGTTGAGAAAAATCTTCTAAGTATTGGAGGAAGAATTAGATTATGTTGAGTACTTTAAAGAAGGGGATCATGGAAACGAAAAGAATATGGCTACCAACCATTGATGATTGAAAAAAAACGTTGTGTAAAGTTTTTGAAGGTTTTATATGATGTCATTAAAAACATAAGTTGTTCTTTATAACTTCTAATTCTTATTTTCATGAATTTTGGGGCATTCAATAATTTTTAATTGAAAGGAGTTCAAATGTTTACTATGTATTAAGTCACATATGAATTCAAATGTGAACTCCAGACCGACATTTTGACTAATTCGGATTAGGTCTGATACGCTCGAACTATTTTCTACTAGTTTCAACTCTTCGGAAACTTTTAAGGTTAGTATGACAACATTTTAGCTAATTAGTTTAAAATTTTTGCAGAAGTTTACATATTATTTTATGTAAAATTAGGTTTAGCTAGTTTAAGTTATTTGGAGTCAAGTTTGGATTATTTTATGCAAAATTATGTTTAGTTACTTTAAATTATTTGGAGTCAAGTTTAAATTATTGTATGCAAATTTAGTTTTAGCTAGTTTAAATTATTAGGAGTCCGTTTAAATTATTGTATGTACCATTAGATTTAGCTAGTTTAAATTATTAGAAATAAGTTTAAGTTATTTTATGCAAAATTAGGTGTGCCAGTTTCACGATAAAATTCTAATTTAGAATTTTAGAGAGTAGCACTAAGTTATTATCAAGGGGTCATAGCAGTTTTAACCTACGCCAACCAAATAAGTGGTTCAACTATCGATTGGTTAGAAGAATTGTTTGATGTATGATGATACATGCCCAGTGGCCCTGCATGTGTCATATATGTGATATGTCTTATCATATGTGTTTCTTTATAATATGATTTATGATAGGCCAAGATATGCCAAATAACATCGTGTTATAAACGAAATGTCAATTCATATTACGATGAATCATGTTGTGATATGAAATGCCATGATATACTATGATATGAATATGTTTGGCATTGACACGTTATAACATGCTATGATATGTATTAAAATGAGAAATTTTACAATGCACAACCCCTAAGCTATGATGTGAAAGTTATGTTATGAACGAAATGATTTATGAAAGCTTATGTATGCATATTACCGAGTGTAATATGTGACGAATGGTAGGGGTTGTTCTATATGATTTATTTATGATAGAATGTATGGGGATCTCATGCATAATTGTATATTCACATACATCGGGATACTTCTCATTTATGATGGATTGCGTACACTATGAGAGTGAAATGACTGTCATGCTTGGCATGCTGCACGACGTTGCTGTACTTTCTATTAGGATCGCAACAACGCACATACTTGATCAAGATAAACACAAAGAATTAGGAGAGAGAAAATGTAAGAAGAAAGATTGAATACAGGATTTGTATGGATGACTTAAGTACCTCTCCAAAACAGTCTTACATAAAATGTAAGGATGAGAATGCTATGTTTACTATATATATAGCTTGAACATATATAACTACCTATATATATAACAGCGCTTTACTCTAACTAATCGTTTACTATATATAACTATTTTTCATATATAGTTTTACTCTAAGTAAAGATTGAATAAACCGTAAATAGACATCAGGCTCCATATCCCAACACTTTCTGATGTCCGGCTATAGTCTAAAGGAGCTAGCCCGACCAAAAGATTCAAGGGGTGTGCGAGCCCGCCTGGTAGTTCCATGTTCGCATGCATGGGCCGTGTGTAGAGAAATACTACACATCTAACTTGTCCGGATTGAAGACCACCTAAGAAAATACTATTTACGTCTTATTTATGTTGTATGTGTTCGAGTAGTTGCATTTTATTTTATAGATGTTAGGTGAGTCTAGGGCATCATTTTAATTTTTTTTCTCTAGTTTTATTTTATTTTGTGTAATAGAAAAAAAAAACAAATAAAAATAATTATAAAAAAAAAGGGTCAAAATAATAATAATAATAATCATAATAATTAATAAATAAATAACTAAAAAGATTACTTAAAAATAAAAATAAAATAAATAAAACTTAACCACCTCTCATCTCATCCTCATCCTCTCTCCCCAACCCCCACACAATATCACATTTTGTACAATAAAGAGAAGAATGTCAATTTGAAAAAAAAAGTAAAATGATGATGCACAATATTACAGTTCGTCCAAAAAAAACAGAAGAATGTGAGATATGATGCAGATTTAATTTGGAGAGAGATTTTCTTTATATTTATCGTTATAAATAATTAAGTTAATCCGATCTTCTTCCCTTTATCCAATATTTTACAAGATCACTAAGAATCAAATCTCATTCCCTCCTATTCAATTAATTAGATTTTTGTTAGAATTTAGTGATAGAAAAATAAGGTTAGAATCAATAAAATTTTAGTCGGCAATTTATAAGGTGGTAGACAAACAATTAATTAAAAATAATATAAAATAAAAGAAGAAATACAGTAATGCTGGGAAGTAAGAAAATAAGGAAATACATATGGAAAGAAAAAAAAAATGGAAAATTTTGGAAGTAAGAATAGGTTAACAAAATTAGCCAATAATAATAGGTTAACAAAATTGTCCAATAATATCTGTTTAGAAAATAAATATAGAGGAAGAGTAATATCTCCAGAAAATCTGTTTACAAAATGAAAATAATTACAGAGATGAAGATGGAAAATTGGGGAAAGATTTGGTGACCAAAATTTAAAAATAAAACTGTAAATATTAGAAGGCAAAAAACTCCGTTAAATTACAACCGGAAGACTAGAAAATAAGAGATTAAGTGAAAATAGCATTATATATATATATATATATACACAACATTTCACGACTTTTAACAATGGACCGATCTAAATTAGAGAAATAATTTTATAGAGTTCAAACTTAAACTTGTCATGGGCTCACATAGGTTGACTTGGATTTCAAGGGACAAAATCTAACTTTCATCAAGGATATACTAGTGACACCAGCCTAAGCTAATCAGGTAAGTGGTCTTCTATCGACATGGTTATATTTAATGTTGACAAGTGCCACGTAGTTATGTATGTGTCATATATATTGATATATGTGAATTGTTTGTGGATTAATATGCTTATGATATGTTATGTATATGTTATGATATGTGGATTGTATGATAATAATTACGGTACGATGTGTTCAATGATATGTTTGAGATAGGACACGAGAAGGATGCACAAAACGAAATGTAACGATAGGAGTAAGATATGTTCATGAAACGTCAAGGTTAGGTTACATACTGAAGTGCTATGGATATGAGAGATTGATAAAAGAATACGGTTACGATATGATATGTTTATGATACGACATGTGAATGACGAATATATATATATATGCTGTCATATGATATAAAATATGTTATGGTACGAGATATGTGATAAATTGACATGTTTATGATATGATACATTGTGATGCAATATGTTATGGTATAATATGTATATAATGAAATGTTATGTTAAAAAGCATAGAACGTTATGATATGTCTCATAAATTGTGTATATACAGCATGATATGAATGACATGAAATCACGATAAATGACATGAAATATAACCTCGTTAAAATTATGTATGATACAAGAACTGAAGAATGAGAAACAATATGATATGAATGATGATCGATATGATATGTACAGAATGCTAGCAGGTTGTATTAAATGATAATGAAAATGGAAAAATGTTGGGAGCTCATGCATTATGTGTGCTCATGCATTGGGGGATACCCTTATTCCATCACGAGGGTACGGACACGTACATCCATTAGGCAGGCGAAGTATCGTTATGTTTTACATAATGCTGCCATGACAGTTACTAATTCTAATGAGTGTCCGACAAAAGTTGAGCTACCAGAGAAGGCTCGCCTGACAAGAAAAGGGGCCCAGCGGTGTGCGAACTGTCTGGTGAGCTCATACTCGCACATATGGGTTGTGTGTGAGTATATGGTACACATTCAAGCTTCCCATTAGAATAGTGTTGTAGGAAAAAAATAGACTGATAGGTCCCGTCATAGCATATTGCATGTTCTTGCATTTAA